CCTAAATGATGCTATGATTAATCTTGACCTTTCAGAAGAGACTTTTAGCAATGTTGATTTTCCAGTATTGAAAGAGAAGTTTGTGCCTTTCTTACATTAAACATCAAAAATCCAAAGTATCTCTGAAAATTTAAATCAGAGAAATATTTGACACTATTTCCTTACAAGAGGCATCCCTACAGTGAAAGTGAATGTCCTCAGATACAGTAAAATGTTTAATAACAGTAAACTGTGTAAATAGAAGTGAGTGATTCCTGCTAGAGAAGGGAGTAAAATTTAAAAAGGGCATAACTGAGGTAAAATGCTGCCTGAAAGAAGAACTTCTCCCTGTGCAGAGTGTTCACTGGCAGTGCTGTAATCTGCCACTTTATGAAAGGCTGCTGTATATTTTTTAGCTGTTTGGGAAACTGTGGCAAAGCTTTTAGTCTCCCATCTGCATTCCAGTCTGGAAAAGCTCAGGACCATTCCACTGGGGTAGAGAAGCTGAAGTGGCAGGAAGTGTAATGTCTGAATATAGCTTTTTATAGTCCTGAAAGCAGTACAAGCAGTTCTTGAATGTTTTATAGGTGTTTTATAATAGTTTTTAAATGCCTGCTGGAAGAAGTTTATTTGGGTATTAGGGAACAAGCTTTGCCTAACTTCCCAATCCTCAACTTGGGAGAAAAGAAAAAGGGAAAGAATAACTTCTTTGGTGCTAAGGTCCTTGCTGTCATTGGAAAATCTTTTGTTTACTTCAAAATCAAGTGGTTTCTGGCTGAATAGAAACTTTGGGTACACTGTTAACCTGTACTTGCCCACTACATCAAGCACCATGGATTTTGTTGTTACATCCCTTCCACAATTCTGCTTCTCTGTAATGTCCTTGAATGCTGAAATTCACTCACCCTGCTCTGAGTGTTGTGCCTCTCCCATCAGACAGACAAGAACCAGACAATGCTTGCACAAGCAGCACAGCAGTTGGAGCTGCATTTCTGGCAGAAAACCAGTTTAGAGGTGCCAGCCTCCAAAAGGAATGCATGCAAGGCAAAGAAAAAGGGCAATGACAAAAATATCTTTGCAACCATTTGGTTTTCTACCATCTCCATGTTGAGATTTAAACCAAAAATAGGTGGAGAAGGCACTTTGGAAGGCACTTTGACTCACTTTGGAATTGTATGAAGAGTTTTTCTGATTCTTGGATGTGTTTCAGCTTTAGGAGCTTTTCTCCTCTTTCCATTAGAGGAAAAGCATTTCATTAGATATGCTTAGCATATCATTTGCATATCATTAGACTGCAGATTGAGAGAGTCAGGGACTGAACCTTCCTCACACACTGCAGTGTTAAAGAAATAGACTGTTGTAAATTCATGGTGGGCCCCGTGGTGGGGAAGAACAATGCATCTGACTCCATGTTGTCAGAATGCTGATTTATTACTTTATTGTACTATATTATATTAAAGAATACTATACTATACTAAGGAATACAGAAAGGATACTGAATGCTAAAAAGATAATAATGAAAACTGGTGACTCTTTCCAGAGTCCTGACACAGCTTGGCCCCAATTGGCCAAAGAGTGAAAACAACTCCCAGCAGAATCCAATGGAACAATCACCTGTGGGTAAACAATCTCCAAACTCATTCCACATGAGCACAACACAGGAGAAGCAAATGAGATAAGAATTGTTTTCCTTTTCTCTGAGGCTTCTCAGCTTCCCAAGGGAAAAATCCCAGGCTAAGGGATTTTTCCAGAAAATGTGAATGCCACAATAGACAGTTCCCAGTGTCAGTCTGCTGTGAATTATGGGCACGTATATAAATCTCTGTCTTGATGGAAGTCCCTTCAGATTCTGAATCAAGGTTCTGTGCAGTACACTGGAGAGCAAAAACTCACAAATTCTCATTTTTCCTCTCAGGGCTGTCAGCGAATCGTGGAGGATTGGCAGAGGATATTGATGGTCCGATCTCTTGTTGTGAATCCTCATGAGGACATGAGAACTTGGCTCAAGTATGCCAGCTTGTGTGGCAAGAGTGGGAGGCTGGTGAGCATTGTCAGGCTCTGTCCTCTTCTGCAGGTTTTGGGATTATTTGCTATACTGTTCTGCTTCAGCCTTGAGCATTCCTAAATGCTTTCATTGCCCAGGTGGGATGGGCTCTCCTCTGAGGAAGAAATAGTCAGAAATTGTTGAAATGGTAAAATTGTAACCAGCATAAAGTTCATGCTTTAGCCAAGGTTATTTTAGTGGGACTGATATACCTGAGAGCCCCTGGGCCAATTTTTCATTGCATGCTGTAACTGGAAGTCTTTATGCACTACTGGAGATTATTAGTAATAGTTCTCTGCTAGAGCAGAGAGTCACATCTACAGTGTGCTGTCACTGTTGAACATTACAGTCCTATTTTAACATTCATCACAAAATTTATCACCAAATACTTGAAACAGAGGGAAAATAAATAGTGTAAATACTTTACACTTTCTACTGGCTTCTGAAATGAGAATCTAATGCTCTGATCCAAAGGAAGACATGTGGTTTATCATGTGATATTCTGTGAATTCTGGGAGTCTGCTGTGTCTATGTTGTATCTGGAGGGTCAGATGTACTTTTTTAGTGTAGGGCAATTCTGAAGCAATATGAGCTGGAAGTAACAATGACAATTATGTTCTAACCTGCTTTTTGTCTTTGCCACTCCTGCAGGCTTTGGCCCACAAGACCCTTGTGCTGCTCTTGGGAGTGGATCCCTCTCGGCAGCTGGATCACCCCCTGCCCACAGTGCACCCCCAGGTCACCTATGCATACATGAAGCACATGTGGAAGAGTGCACGGAAGGTACAGAGCACCCTGCTTGTTCCACTGCTCAGCTTTTGTGCACTGTTAGCTCTTCATGCTCCCAACAGAGCAAAGGCAAAGCTGGATCTTTTACTTTTGTTCCCCTGAAATAGAGTAACTAATTCCTTTCCTTATTGTTGTTCAGATCATAAGCTTTTTATTTCCTTTAAAACTCTGTAATGCAGAGAAAACCTGGTCCTAATTTTATTTCATTAATGGAAAGATTATTTTTGCTAAGTAGTAGCTGGTACCCAAAGTATACAGACAGGATTGATGGTCAGTAGTAATTCTTTTGTCCTGTGTAGGTTTTCTGCTTGAATTTTCATCCACTGTCTTGATTGCTGGGTCTCTACACTGTACCTGTGCTCAGGGTCACATGCAGAAAGAGGGAAGTTAAGGGGGTTTATTACCAGTTTTGGAAGCAGAGGGGAGTTTATTACCAGTTTTAGAAGTAGAGGGGAGTTTATTACCAGTTTTAGAAATAGAGGGGAGTTTATTGCCAGTTTTAGAAGTGTCCTGAACAGTTTGCACTTAGTTGCTGAGCAGAACTGATTTTTACTAAAGAAAATTTCCAATTTTATAGGAAATTTCTAACTGAAAGACAACTGAAAAGTACATAGAGTTTGTCATGAGAGCACTTTGGCAGCAGAGAGCTCAGGGTGAATGTTTTTGACATTGCAACACAGGGAGAATTTACGTAATCAAATCCAATAAGCTTCAGACTGGATAAGTTATCTTTTTTTTTAATATACATTAAAGCCTCCATTTATCCTCATTTTCTACCACATCTTTATTTTTTCTGCCTTGGCATTGCCAGCACTGGAGCAGAGCCATTGCTGTGGGAACATTGCCACAACGAACTGTTCTTTATTTGAATTAAAAAGGCAGAAGGAGCTGCTGTTGGCTCTGTAAAACAGTGAAATTGCCTCTTACCCTCTGCAGTAAAGCACCCCAGAAATAGGTGGGGTCTCTGCCTGACTCTGTGAGGGAAATTGTATTTGTGGTGTTTGTCTTGTGGTCAGCAAGTAGATGGACATGGTGCAGTGGTGGAAAGCAGAATGAGAGAAGGCACAAAGATTAATGTTAGGAGAATATCTAAAATTAACTGATGGGAGAATAAGTGGACCCCTTGAAGATGGGGGAAAACTGATACCCAAATAGATAAATACAGTTACACCTGGTGATGTGTGTAGTTTTATGTAACTCTGTGTGTTCACTTGATTTGGTATCCTAAGTAATAAGGTGCTGATAGGCTATATATGGTGGGAAATTACAATTTTTTTTTCTAGCTCAGCAGTTCAGGGTTCCTTTGTTGACCTAAAATGGCAGTTTTCAGTACTTGTCAAATGCAGCAGGAAAAAAGCTGGCATCTAGAAGGAAACCAGCCAAATGGCACCTGCAGAGCTCCACAAGTCTTCTTAAACAACAGATAAAAATTGATGTGTCAACCCTATTACATTTCTTCTAACAAAGACCTTTGCCAGCAGCTGCATTCTAAGCCAAATCCCATAGAAAAGATGCATACAAATTTAGGAATTTATTCTGGAAAACTTGCTGCTTTCAGTCTTAAGTGCTCTGTCTGTCAGTTTATGGCCATCAGTTTTCAATATTAATGGAAACTGAAGACCAGATTGCTGGATGTATCTAGATATGAGAGGGGCACATAAAAATATTCTGTAGTAATTCTGTTTGACAATATATTTTGGCTATTTTTAATGGATGTCTTGCATAACTATTTATAAGACCATTATTTACACCACCCCAAGTCCCTTCTGTCTAGGTTACCAGTTATGGAATGCACCATATTAATGTTATAAGTATGATCTTTTGTTGTATTTCACCCTGGGCTGAATGCACCATATTAATGTTATGAGTACAATCCTTTATTTTCTTTTATTTCACCCTGGATAATACCCTTTTTCCTCACCACTGAGTTGTGCATGCTGATATTTGAACAGGATAGATGAGGCATTTGAGCTCAAGTGGTTTTTGTCTCTAGCATAGCTCATTTCTACAGACACACAGAAGTAAATTAGGTTTCTAACTACATATTCTGCAGTTCCTAACCTGAAATGACCTTGCAGATTGCAGGAGCTTAACTCTTAATTCTTTCCAGTGAAGCATGAATAAGTTTTTTTTTTTAATTTTATTCTTGGGTTCTCCTACCCCAGAATAATTTCCGAGGAATTTTAAAAATGTATTTTCCCTCAGAATTTGGTAGTGAAAGTTGCTTTAACACTACTGCCCTGTATAATATTCTGTCAAAGGAATAATACACATTTGAACTTCTTCAATAACTTTAGGAGAAAACCAAACTTTAATTTGTTGAAACAACTCATGGTGTGTACTTCAAGCCCAGACAAAGCTGAAAGGTTAGCAGAGAAGATCAGAAAGCTGCAAGTTTTCCTTCAGGCATTATTTTCTCAAGTTGTCGTGGGTTTGGTTTTTGGTTTGTTTTTTTGGTTTTATGGGGCTTTGGTGGTTTTTTTTGGTTTTTTTTTTTTGGCTTGGTTTTTTGGGGGTTTTTTTGTAGGTTTGGGTTTGGATTTTTGGGTTTTTTTGTTGTTGTCTTTGGGTTTTTTTTGTCTGCCCATAGCATATTATAGGTAGGCTTCTGTGGATTTGTGATCCTGTCTGTTCAGGATTGTCCTGGTCAGATCCAGTCTGTAAGCTACAAACATTTGATGGTTGCAATTGCCAAGCTAAGTTCATGCTCAGCTGAAAATGCATCTCTGCATCTCCCAGTGTGAGGGACATTCTCTGCTGTTGGAGCTTTCTCCCTGTGCAGGTGACCTTGCCCACCATGAGTTATGGTCAGTCACACCTTTAGCTCTCTGTCTGCATGACAGTGAAGGTGTGCTGGCACTGCAAGGATGCAGTGATTTGTTCCTCAGTTTAGCAGTTTCAGAGACAATAAGAATCTCTAACCTCTTCATTTATTTAGACATACTTAAAGTGTAAAGTGATTTTAGAGGGATATTAATGGCTGAAAAGCTTTGAAAGAAAACAAAACCATATATTTTTATTTCTATGAAAATCATTTCTACATTTTTTTCTCCCTTGACAAAATGGTATTTAAGCCCTGTGGTGCTGACTGCCTCCATCCTTTGCAGATTGATGCATTCCAGCACATGCAGCACTTTGTGCAGACCATGCAGCAGCAGGCCCAGCACGCCATCGCCACTGAGGACCAGCAGCACAAACAGGAGCTCCATAAACTCATGGCACGGTCAGCACGGGCACCCTTCAGCTCCAAACTCAAACTGAACCCTTTCCTGAAGTGCAGGGTCCCTGGGGGTGACACATTTCAGACAAATTCTTTGAATAAAAGAACGGGATTTCTCATTTAGCTGCTTTGCTGTTATGTGGTGGTGTTCACAGGGGTCCCAGGAAGAGATGAGGATCTGACTCCATGTTTCAGAAGGCTGGTTTATTATTTTATGATATATGTTATATTAAAACTATACTCAAAGAATAGAAGAAAGGATTTAATCAGAAGGCTTGAAAGGAAAGGAAAGAATGGGATGATAACAAAATCTTGTGGCTGACCAGACAGTCTGAATGAGCTGACTGTGATTGGCCATTAATTAGAAACAAACACATGAGACCAATTACAGATCCACCTGTTGCATTCCACAGCAGCAGATAATCAATGTTCACATTTTGTTCCTGAGGGCCTCTCAGCTTCTCAGGAGAAAAAATCCTAAGGAAAGGATTTTTCATAAAATCCTGTGACAGTATTACATTCTTATCTACCATGTAATGTTCAGTAAATGTTACTGGGACACTTCAGCCTAAACAGGCTTATATTTGTGGCTGGTGCCTGTTGTATTTTTCCAGCCCTGTGCTCGTTGGCAGGAGCAGAGCTCTCAGCATGTCTGTTTCTTTGCTTTTCAGGAGATTTGGTAACTGGGAAAGAAACACTCCCCACACAGGCCTGGCATATCTGTATGAAGTGCACAGGCTGCCAAGCACAACAGCAGTGCTTTGGGCAGTAGGTGCCTAGCATGTGATGGTCTCTTACAATACTGTTACATAAAAACCCTTTTTCCATTTTTCTCTGTGGATCTGTAGGTGCCAGATCTGGTTTTTTCAGTTTAAATTAAAAATTACATAGTGCTTTCTATTGAAGGTTTGCTTTTTTTGAAGAGAGTTGTTCACTCAGTTTGCTTTTATGAGGATGGGAACCCTTGGTAAAACCATTCTCTTATTTTTTCAGTGGCTATAATGGAAAACAAATTTGTAATGATTTGCATACAGTATTTGTCTTGCACAATGTTTTCTGGAAAACTCAAAGTACAGAAAGGACAGCCATGTCCTAACTGTGGCATTTAAAGCCTGCTGAGGGAGCAAAGTATTAAATTTTGGGCAAACCTTGACAACTCCACCCTGCTGCAGTAAAAATATCTTGTTTTTCCTTTTCTCTAGGAGGGAATGACTTAATGGGGTTCTGGCTGGGGGAAGAACAGTTCCTCTGTGTTTGCATTGTTTGTTTGTCAGTGTTCTCCCCAGAAGGCTCCTTCATGTGGTGCTCAGTACAGCTCAGCAGCACATGTATGATTTTATCAGCACAGACTGATGAAGTCTTTCAATGTTGCTGTTACCTACTTCTTACATTTATTTTATAACTTATACAGATGAGGGAAAAAAGTTTGATCCCCAATTTTCCTCTCAAATTAAACCTTCAACTAGTTAGTTGCACACTACAAGCAAGATGGAAATATTTGAATCTTGCATCCAGCCTGCAGGAGAGGCTACCTGGCTGAATTCACCACATGGAATGTCCTTTAGACTCCAGACAGCAAGTTAGCCTTTTAATGCAGAGGCTTTGTTTTTATTTTAGCTTTTGAATCAATAATCCCTTTGCTTAACTAGGTGTTTCCTGAAACTGGGTGAGTGGCAGCTGAACCTGCAAGGCATCAATGAGAGCACCATCCCCAAAGTCTTGCAGTATTACAGTGCTGCAACGGAGCATGATCGCAACTGGTACAAGGTCAGTATAGAGAATTTCCAGATCAATTTTATCAAATCCCATTGTGCAGGAAAGGAAGGTGTTCATTGGAAGACCTCCCATAACTATCTGCCTTGTTACTGCCAGTAGGATTAAAAAAAAAAAACAAAATAAAACCAAAAAACAGAGAAAGTGCCCCAAGGTAATCGTGAGATTTAGGCCACAATTCAGTTTCTTATCTTGCTTTTGAGACTCTCTCCTGTTGTCAGAAAGAAAATGGAAAAATTTAACTTGTTCTCAGCCAGTATACTTGAACAAGGAAAGTAGCCCTGTTGTTAATTCTCCAAAGAACCTTTGATTTCGTGGTTGTGATATTAATATTTGGTGCCAGATGTTCTCTGGGGCAGCCATCTCCTGTATTTTTTCCCATTACACATCCCTGAGCCTAACATATTAATTTTCATTTTAGCCTTTAAAAAATTAAGCTATATGCAAATATAATTTAATTTTTGGTACAGAACTCATTTGCTTTAATATTCAACAGGGGAGTTCCAGGCCAAGAACTCAACATGATATTATTTAAGACAAGAAGACAGTTCAAATGCCAAAGCATTGTGTTGTCTGCAGGATATTACTTACTTTGCAGACACAGAAAGCTTGGATTATATGTAACAATTAGGAAGTGCCAGTTGCAGAAAGGAGTGTGACTTGTGTTCTGTCCTGTTGGCAGGCCTGGCATGCCTGGGCAGTGATGAACTTTGAGGCAGTGCTTCACTATAAACATCAAAACCAGGCCAGAGATGAGAAGAAGAAGCTGCGACACGCGAGCGGCGCCAGCATCACCAGCGCCAACACCGAGGGCAGCAACAGTGAGAGTGATGCAGAGAGCACTGAGAACAGCCCCATCCCATCCCCAGTGCAGAAAAAAGTCACTGAGGTACCCTCCTTCCTCCCTCTTCTTCTTCTTGAGAGATTGGTACTTGCTGCTTAGACGCAGGAAAAAAATCATGGGCTAAATTAACATAAATTATTATTAGCTAAATGGGCTGGGATAGGGGTACAGAGCATTAACAAATTCTGCTGGTTAGGCCCTTCATGGAAGACTCTGAGAAATCTCTTCCATTTACCAGTTATAGTAAGGTAGTTTTTAGGCTGAACAAACTGAAGTATAAAACAACTTCATAGCATTTTCCCTGCCTGCCTGAAAGATCTTTGTGTAGTCAAGCGAAACATAAAATCCTAGGAGCAACATGTCCTGTAGGAGAAGAATAGGAGCAGAAGTCAGCTACAATAGGGTTCAGGTCTATATTTCCACATATTTCTTCCTCTTTCCCCTTCTTAGTTTAGGATTCATGTGGGCTGATGTGCTTGCATGGAACTAATGCAGCAATTTCATTCCAAAAGGATTTATCCAAGACCCTCCTGATGTACACAGTCCCTGCTGTCCAGGGTTTCTTCAGATCTATTTCTCTGTCTCGAGGAAACAACCTGCAAGACACACTAAGGTACATAATAAAGCTCATAGTAAATGAAATCCAGCTGATAAGAACACAAGGTTTCAGATTAGGTAGAACACGTTTCTGCTCTTTTTTATTATGCTTGAATTAAGTGAATGCATTGGTCCAGGCTAATTTTTGTTGGATGGATTATCCCTGCATTCTGAGGGTTCTGGGAAGAAAAGTTCCTTGTAAATAGGTTTTGGGTTGGGGATTTTTTGTTTGTTTGTTTGGGGGTTTTGTGGTGGGGTTTTATTTGTTGGTTGGTTGGTGGCTTTTGTTTTGTGTTGGTTGTGTGTTCGTTTGTTTGTTCCTAACAAAAGAATTTCTCTTTCTCAGAGTCCTTACTCTGTGGTTTGACTATGGTCACTGGCCTGATGTGAATGAGGCTTTGGTAGAAGGAGTCAAGGCAATCCAAATAGACACCTGGCTGCAGGTAAATAACACAAAGAGAAATCACAGTTCTGGGGTAGTTTGGGGATTTGCTGCATGGTATCTCCTATGATCCCTTGCTGAACAATCCTCCATAGGTGAGTGCTGAGAGCAGTGTGCAGTGCAGTCTGTGACTGATTTAACAAGCATCTTGAACAGAGAAATGAGAAATGTTTCTGCATTTACATGCAGATTAGTGCATATAAATGAGAAAGAATGAAAATTCTTAAATTAAAGATGACAAGCATTCAGTGGTGATCAAGTAGAAAACACCACTGTCCTACTTTGATGTAGTTCACACTCTATTTCAGGATTGCCTTGTAGAATGATTCTTGTAATTAAATTTAAAAATACTTTATTTCCTATTTAAGCATCATACTTCAATAAACATCTTTCCTTAGTAGGATCCTGTGACAGTTTTGCACAGAACAGTTGTGATCTCATTGAACTGTTGTACATTTCTGTTGGGCACCTTGTGTTACCCTCTGACCAACTCAAAAATGAGTGGTGGGCTTCCTCTAGGAGAGGGCAGAACAGCTGGGGCACTGAACACATGAGATAACAGTGTCACCACATTTCTATTCACAGGAAAGCAAGGCACAGCTCTTCCCAAGAATATTTCAGGGTTTCACATTCTCTGAACCTCAGAGAAAGGAAAAACAATTCTCATCATTTGCTGTGCCTGTGTTTGTGCCAAAGTAGAATGCAATGTGGAGATTGTTTACCCACAGTGATGGGGTTTTGTTTCCTTGGCCTGTCAGGGTGTGTGTGTGTCAGGACTGGCATGAGATTCAGTGCAGTGTGTGCAGAGTTGAGTGTTTGGCAGATTCAATTTAGATGTAATGTAATATAGTGTAATATATAGTGTATATATATATATACTTACTTTATTATACTAAATTTAATATACTAAATTACTTTATAATAAAGTAATTCTATATTTATAGAATATATAATTCCTCTATTATACTATATTATTCTATACACTACACAGTATAGAATAATATAGTATAATAAAGTATATAGTGTAATATCTAGTACACATGTATATATAAATATATATATACTTTATTATACTAAATTTTATTATACTAAATGTATGAATTAAACTTTATTATACTACATTTATTCTACTAAATTACTTTATTGTAATAAAGTAATTATATATTTATATAATATATAATTACTTTATTATGCTATATTGTTCTAAACTATATTACACTATATACTTTATTATACTATAGGATTCTATACACTACAGTGTAGAATAGAATATATATACAGTATAGAATAATATAGTATAATAACATATATATAGTGTAATACATATATAAATGTATATATACTTATATATATGCTTACTTTATTATACTAAATTTTATTATACTAAATTATTATAATAAAGTAATTATATATTTATAAAATATATAATTCCTTTATTATACTAAATTTATAAATTAAACTTTTTTATACTAAATTTATTATACTAAATTACTTTATTATAATAAAGTATTTATATATTTATAAAATATATTCTTATTTTATTATACTATGTTATTCTATACTATATTACACTATATACTTTATGGACTATGTATAGTCAATATATAGAATATAACACTATATTATTCTGTACACTACACAGTGTAGAATAATATAGTATAATAAAGTATATAGTGTAATATAGTGTAAT